CTCAAAGACATACGCTGTTTGGTAGTAACTATACGAGTAACAACCATTCAGGAAGGCAACTGCATTTAACGCACGTTGGCTAAAAAATTCCAACGTACTACATTTGAATCAGTGAGAACGAAAACACACCTACTCGGTAACTCGAAAATGCTCAATTTTCATTTAAGACAATCAATTTGAATAAAAGTCATCGAAGCTAGGGCATCTGTTCCAACTCGGACCTTTAAAGTGTCCTTAAGTACTTGTCTTTCGAAAATATTTTTCTTAGACTAACTTCTACTCTTACTGTGCAGTTTCGTGTGGGTAATCATAATTTTAATTTTTCGAGTTGGTGTGTTTTCGTTCTCACTGATTCATTTTAGTCTTAAATTTTAATTATCTTTGATTTTCGGAACGCAACGGCTCTCCATGCATAAAACATGTATCCAGTGCTCGATTCACCATTTTTTATTATCACAGCGGCAACCCCCTTTCCATCTAGAAACCCCGAGGGCCTTTTTGAGTCACTTTTTTTTTAGATTATCGCCTCCAAAAATGAACCGAAGAAAAATTGTACGCCACGCGGGCAGTCGCCCGACCTTACTAGCGCGACTACCTGGTTTTGCAATTTTCACAGCTTTATTGCATCGATTACATGGAAAGCGTGGCTGATTTTTTCGCTTGGTCAAGCAAAAGCTGGCCTTGAAGAGCTCACGTACATTTTGCTCTGAGCTTTGAGTGGCGTCGCCAGATCGTCGGGAGAATCTGTCGATTACCGTCTTTCACGGTGCGTGAAATCGGCTCTTCGTACCTGCTTGGCAGCCTGACATTTTAGAGTCAAGACAGGGCGGGCACAGCCGTGAACCTCTACTAACAGTGACGCCACTTTGTCGAAATCCTCGTGGTTAACTCCCTCTTTTCCTGGGCGAGCAACCTGATTTTCCACCAGTTTGACGTGGCAACAGCGCGGATCGGTCAAAAGCTCAGTCACAAAAGCCTTATTCAGCGTTTATGACGGGTGTGAATCGTGAGTAATTGAATAATGTCATGAAACAGTGCGGTCCTATCCACGTATATAAAGTTAGAGCGGATGTGCCACAGCAACGCTTACTCTTAGAGCCACAGCCTGCAAAGTGAAGGAAAATATATACATTTTTGTAAGGGGTCGTCTCTTAACTATTACCTAACGCTGACCCGATACCCCTCCTTCCCAATCGTTTAACGAGAATTTAAAAAAATCCCGTTGAGCTCGGGGATGCAACATATAATAATTATACATACAATACAATAATACACAATAATAACATCAATATACAATATTGTATTAATACAATACAATATTAATCTTATACAAATACAATAATAACATCAGCAATTATTGCTGTGTTAAAGTGTTATAGTTATTAGAATCTCAACTTGTCGTTTCCCTCTCGAAAAAACGTACTCCATTTCAACGCTGTCAAATTTCCCCCTGCAAGTTGCATTTTTACCGGGAGAATCTCGGGCATTTCTGAGTGACAAATTCACTGATTTCTCCTCTGATTTTATGCACAAATCAGTAAAAAATTCGACAACAATTTTTCATGTAGACTCTTGTAAAAAATTGAATAGTTCGAGTCAATTTTACCACCTTAGAATAGAGTTACGTTCCTCCGTTCGGGAAACGACAAACTATTCAATTTTTCAGCTATTAACTTTTTTTTTTTTTTTTTTTTTTTTACATTTTACAGGACGATTACTGCACTATCAAATTAGAGAGAGTTTCAGTCATTTATGTCGATTTGAATTTCATCCGGCGGTATAAGATGTGCGTACGGATTTTAAAGTATTCCAATGAAGAGAAATGGTGTCTGCAGAGTTCACCCATCGATTTGTCGTACGGTTTTTTCAGCACCGCGTGAGTAGCGACGCGACGCGGCGTGAGGATCAAACGGTGCCGTCAAATACGCGAGGCATGGAATGCAAGTTGCATACTTTCCCGGATGCAGGCTTGCAGGCTGATTCCGGGATCGATAAAAATTGAGCACGATCGGCTGACTCACTCTCATTCCCATTGAGATCGTAGCCTTCGCTCACCTCGTCATCATTGCCAGTATCCTTTAATTCATTAGCTACCTATTGTATTTCGTTTCATGGACCTTTATTTTGCACCGATGGACGAGTGCATTTTCTGCTAGGACGGCACTGCTTCCTCCTAAAGAAACTTGGAAGTGAATTTGAATTATTATTTTTATTTTTTTTTTTTAAATTTTGATCGATTGTGAGTAATAAATAGAAAGCGAGGTGTTGTGCGTAAATTTCTTTGCACCTTATGGCAGTGGCGTGGCGTGAATGATCGATTATCGATATCTCGCCATTTGAAGCTATGGTAAAGAATCGATTAATAAGGTGTTCGCTGCGAACACCCTCATAATCGATCTTTTTTCATAGGTTTGAGTGGCGTATCAATCGATATATCGCAAAGCACGCCACGCCACTGCTTTATGGCTTATACCATCATCAGAGCGTCATGAAAAATCTTGATCAAAGACGTATTCACACAATATCCACAACACCTCGGTTTCTATTCATTACTTAGGGGGCGGACTGGCCCGGGCGGGAAGTTGAGCTCCCCGGGGGGAGGGGGGAACCAAAAATTCTGTAGAGGGCTCTCTGAGGCCCCCGCGTGGGCTTAAAAAAAGTCACTTAAAAAAAAGAAAATTCGAAAGACTTCAAAATAAGCGGTTTTTGCGCCTCGAGGGTAACCTTGGGGGCCCCAGTCCAACTGCAAGGCTTACAAGGGGCCTCGAAATCCGGAAAAGCACCCAGGTCCCTGACTTTTGAATGAAAGGGGCCCTAATGAAATGCGCAGGCCTCCGCACTTGGATGGAGTCCAGTGATGGTTCAGACTATATAAAATGGGCCGGGACCCCCGACCCTTGACTTCAAGGGACCCTATTGAAAGGCTCGTTTCCTCAAAGGGCCTCAGCGATAAAAAATCGGGAACCCGCATTCCGAAGACTAATTTTTAGCTTCTTAAATCGGCTGCGAACTTTTATGGCCCCAATGAAATACCTTGAGGGACCGGAGAAATCTTCCCAAAAACACGAGAAAGTACAGTGAAGAGGTGAAATCGGCCCCCTTTGCTTTGAGGGGTGTCCTCCCCTCCTTCTCCTCCTCTCGACCCACAAGATATATCTCTGAATCAACCTCTGCGGGGCCTCTAAGCTGGCTCCACCTAACCGGCGATTTTGTACCCAGTCCACCCCTGAATAAAAAATGGTGTTAAATCAGGACTCCTTAAAGTGGGAACAACGCGCCGCGTCAAACGTGTTCTCGTCCTTTTTGAAATTGTTGCCAACAGGTCAATTATTGGGATTTTTCCGCGTCTTCTCTGCGTCATGGTGTAATTTTCACCCTTTCGACTGGGATTTTGTTCGCTCACCCCCCCCCCNATCCACCCCGGGTCATCGGAAGACAATTCAAGGAATAATCAAGGGCCGAAAATGTTTTTTCTTTCCTTCTTTTTTCGTCCCTTCTTTTTTTCTTTCTTTCTTTTAATGGACTTGATAAACATACCTTTTTTCAGGGTATCCGTAAAGTCCCTTCCCCATCTAACATATTTCCTAATCGAGGTGAAGATTCGAGACTTGGGGGATGTTCTTAGGTCAAAAGGAGCTTCTTTTTAACCCCTCTAAAATTCTTAGGGGCAGGCTGCCTTGAGAGGTAACGGAGTAGTTATTATAATTTTAAGACATTCAGCGACTCAGGCTATTAACGTCTTTACAGATAATTTTGGAAATAGGAGTATAAACGAAAATTTAGATTTTTAAATTAAGAGAGGTGAAGAGTTTTAGAATTTTGGTGGTAATATTAGGTTCATCGCACGTAAGAGGGTTTGTATTACATACATACATACATTACATACATACATACACCCTTACATACATGTATAATGTCACTTTGTGGCACTCCCTGGCGCTCTACAACAGCTCTACAACACCTGGTCTCCCCTGCTCTCTGTCGAACCACAATCCTTGGAGCACCCTACATAGAGCACCTAGAAGAGCATAAAAAAAGAAAATGTTTGCGCAAACTCGAAATTATTATCCCAAACCGTATCAAAATGGTGCTGTTTTAAAATTAAATTTTAAAATTGCGCAATTTCTTGCGTAATGTGTTTAGGCTAATATTAAATGCGTATACTCGTAATATACCCAAATTCCGAATTTCAGGCAAATCCATCGTGCTAAAAACCAAGTTTGCCTATTATTTACGACCATGTTGAATTAATTTTAATCGGCTGCCATTTTGAAATGTATTAAGACAATGATTTCTGGTTGGTACGAAAATTTTTCTTTTTTCACACTCTTTTGAACGAGGTATCAATTAGGAGCAGACCTTTCCATTTGTGGAAAAATGGGGGGTCCGTCCCCCCCCCCTCCCTGATAATTTTAGGGGGCCAAAAGTTTCAAATCTTTATTTCAGTAATGTAAAAAGTTAAAGGGGGGTAGAGGCCTTCACGGACATCCTATGGCCTATACGAAAACACGCAGCCGCGGACAGCCGCTCGTGAAATTCTCCCCTGTGCTCTGTCGCAACTATGGAGGCTGGTGCGTCAATTTGAATTTCCCGCTTTCAATTTGAACTCCAAGTTTATGATTGGTGCTGCGTCTTAGGATGCGAGAACCAATCGGGTGTCTCTCACTTTATTTACAAGATGATAGCACTGCCGTGCTAAGGAAAAACGTCGTATGAACTTTTTAGCATTGCCAGATTTTCTTTGATTAAACACAAATTTTCTGGTAAACTTATGTGTATTTTCCTCCTAAATTTTCTGGTACCTAATTTTGTTTGCAATTTCACCTAAAGATTATGAAAATTTAAAGTAAAAATATTCATTAAATCCTTCTAAAATGAACATTTTGTTGAAGAGAATCTGGCAACTTTTGGATGTTCATACGGCGTTCTTCCTCGGCACGGCAAACAGGATGTTGATTTCGGGAATTTTTTTAGGTTAATCAAAGGTTAATTTGGCTAGGAACAGAGACAAGCTAGGAACGAGTTTCTATTTATGTCAACGACAGATGAAATTTAGACTAGCCACGTCGCTTCCACGTCACATCCTTAGGCTTAGTTTCCTCAAGATTTTAATACTCCTAGTAGTGCTTTTGTCGACATCTGGATAGTAAGAACTTATATTGTGTTGTTTATTTTATTGTGCGGCTCCATTTGTTAACATCTTCTCAAAGACATAGCAAGTAATGATCGCTCCTCGAATGATTGTCAAACCTGGTTGAATGATTATAAATCCTGATTGTTGGTGTTTGTAATATTTAATGATGGTGTCAATAGGTTCAGACTATGAGTTTCCTTGATGTGGACTTGGTTTGAAATCACCCGATGCATTTTGAAGAGTTGATATCTATGTCATTTTTTGAACTCACCCTCAGTCATAAACGCTGACCATCCAAGTGCCATAATCTCTAATTCAGAATGGATGTTGAGTTAGAGAATGTTGTGAAGCTGATTTTTCCTGACGGTGTTCCTGGTATGTCCTATTGATATCTTTCAATTATCAAATGATGATTGTTTCTTTTATTAAGATTTGAATCACAATTGAAGACTTATCATCAATAACGTGCTAAGTGCCAAAAAATGGAAAACGGAGTTAGCACTGGAAATGCATGCTATGTGCCATTGACATCATAGGGTAAAGCGTGCTAAGTGCCATTGCAACAATTTGCAACAAAGTGCAATGGCACTCAGCACGTTTTACCCTATGTTGTCAATGGCATATAGCATACATTTCCAGTGCTAACTCCGTTTTCCATTTTTTGGCACTTAGCACGTTATTGATGATAAGTCTTCAATTACTTACCTAAGTATGTAAATTCTGACAGGTAAATTTCAGAGCTTGGAAATGCCTCAAGTTCACGTCAAACTAGTGTGCTAGAAGCAGGGCTGTGGTGTTCTATGGACGAGTGGAGTGGTTGCCCCAGGCGCTGACGAAAGGGGGCGTTGAACAGTCAGAAAGGGAAATGGCCGGGAAAGAACAAAAACAAGTTAAAAATTCTCTCTTCAAATTTAAAATTCTCTTGAGAGCCCTCCCCCCCTCCATTGCAACCTTTCTTTAAGGGGGGGGAGAAAGGCGCAGACAAAATCCGTTCCCCAGGTGCTAAAAGTTTACGCCACGGCCCTATGCAGAAAATCGGCAGTCTACAATTTCTTGTAGAGGTAAACACTAGAATCAGCTGGCAGACCATCTAGCTCACTTTTGAAGTGTGTACACTTATCTAGTGTACACTTGCAGGGGTGCCGAAGCATGCGTTATAGGTAGTGATTTAGTATTGCTGTAAATGTGAGGCAAATCCTGGGTCGTAAGGAAGTATCATAACCTCAAGGGGGAAAACAAGAGACAGGAAATATTAGAGTTGTCAAGTGGTTTAGAGTCAATGACTTGTAAGTTTACGCTCTTTTAGATTGTCACAGAAGATCAGCTGTCCTGATTCTTCCATTTGCTTTACATGTTAAAGTGACATCAGGCGATCTTCTTTCGCATTCTAGAAGTGCATTAACTTATTCGACCTGGACTTTATATAATATACTCTATTGCTTGCAACCACAATGATTCAAAAGCCTTTTTTCTTTCATGTAGGCACTACAATCAATCAATATGAAATTCGGAATTTTTCCAGTCTTCTCATCAAGTTTTTTTTCCATCTTCTCCTGCATTGTTTAAAAATTTCACATCTTCACGCTGAATTGATTCTTATTATTTTTCTTTTTTACAGAGGAACTGGAAGATAACCCACAGCTAGTAGGATACTTGAATAAATTAGGAACTTACAATGTAGAGCAACTATGTAAGTATCACATTTTTTGTATGATCACATTACTAGGGTCAGATATCGACGGTGAAACTACCAAACCACGTATCTCGGTTTGCGACGTCGCAGACTTCCTGTCATACTTTATTTTTTAAATGAAAAACTACTTAACATCCAGTCTTGAAAATTTCTGTGATTTTTCCTCTTTGTGTGGAGAAAATTCCGTGAAAATTCCAAGGAATGATATTTATTTGGTCTACTTCAAAAAAATAAAATGTGAGCGTAGATTTTTAAACACCGCAAACGAGATACGTGGTTTGGTAGTTTCACCGTCGATATGGAGTTTCCTTTTTTCTTTCTCAAGAGCTTCTAAAGAAGACATTTCAAATACCCACCTGTATTTTTTTTAAGCCTGTGTCCTCAATTGTCTGATGGTTTAATGGGTTCTGTTATATTGTTTTGACTAATCAATATCGCATTTTTCTATAGTCATTCCAAAAAATATTTCTATCAAAATTACAGTAAGCAGTGAGCGAGTACCGCATCCGAAACTAATAGGGCGTTTTTTTATTTTTTAATTTCTTGCTCCCTTTGTGGGTAGGAGAAGTTTTGTCATCCTACTTAATTCTGTTTGGGCCTTCTCTTTAATATTTACAAAAGTCATGTCTGAATCTTGCGTATCAAATTTAATCATGTTGTAATTTATTTTCTAGCTAAAGAGCAGGATCACTTATCTGAGGAGAAAACAGTCATCTTAAATCAGACCAAAGATTTAGCTTCTACCAACTACAAGACCTTCATTAAAACTGCTGAGTGTTCTCGAGAAATCTTTCAACAGGTACTGAAACCCTCTGTTTTTCTGAAATTTGTATCATGGCAAGAGCTTTCAATGTTTCTGAATGTACTTGGGTTGTCCTGAAAGCTATACAATTGATTCTCTTTTAAGTGAACAAATAAAGCCACTACACTGTACTGCCATGCCAAGAAAAAATACCGGATGGACACTTGAGGATTGCTAAATTTCCTTCAATGAAATGTTTATTTTTCCCAAGAGTTATAAATATTTTTTGACAAGGCAATTTGATCTGACAATTTATAGATAAACCAGATCTAATTCTGAATAAAATTCTCTGAAAAGTTGTAGGGAAAATATATACAGATTCCTCCGAGGATTTGTATATTATCAAAAGAAATTTAACAATGTCTGAAGCCTCAAAACATTTTCTCAGCGTGGCAGGATAACTTGAACAACTTAACAGTGTAACTTATCAGTAACTTCCAAATGAGCCCTCTTAGACCTCATTTGAATTTTTATTTTTTCTTTAATGGCTAAATTATACAGAACTTGCATATTCACTCATTCTATCATAAATTTTTTTTAGTTCACACTCAATCACCCCCCCCCCCCNCCTTTGAGTGTGTATCATTGTTGTTGCGTTTGTGAAATACCTAAAATTTCCTCTCGTTTCCTCAGTCTTATAAATTTTCTGTCTACTCGCTTCTTTCTTTTTGCCAATGGCTCATTCAGCAGCAATATGCACCAGAGACACCTCCGATTTTACTTGTTGTATTGCTGCGCATACATTGAAAATAAAAGGCATTGCCGTAATACTAAGGGTCTTCATATTGCTGTTGTTACTTGTTGGTCTACTTGACTGCTGTTGTTGGAATATTGACTTACTTAAATCCTTTTTTCCCAGAAAAAAATCAACAGACTTGGAACTTTACCTAAGTTGATTGAAACTGCCGATCTCAAGTTTCTCTGACTTCTGGAGACCCAGTTACATTGTATGTTTATGAATGTATGTCGTTTGTTTTGCCGTTTAGCTACAAAGATGGCTATCTCATTATTTAATGTTCTTATCTGTTTCAGTTTGGAAAAACAGAGGAAAGGCTGAAATCATTAATTAAGGATCTTCCGGAATTTGCAAGCTCCTGTCAAGAATTTAATGAAAAATCAAATGGCATTAAATCAAGGAGACGCTTGAACACTCTACTACTAACTTTAAATGCTCAACTATTACAAATATTAGAAATCCCTCAGCTTCTTCATCATTGTATCCACAACAATCTATATGAAGAGGCACTGCAACTAGCAGCGTATGTGCGAAAACTGGGCAATAGACATTCCAATATTCCAATCATTGCTGTAAGTACCGTTTTATTAGTTCTTTTGTGAGTCTTTTAGTCTTACCATGATCTATCACAATATGTGCAATGTCTATGTTTCTATTTATTTTTAATTAATCTTGTTGTCAGGGTTTGGTTGAAGATGTTGAAAAATTATGGTGGTCTCTCATGGATCAACTAGTTGCCAATTTACGAACAGACATTCAGCTACCTCGGTGCCTTCAAGTTATCGGTTTTTTGAGGAGAATGGATATTTTTACTGAGTCAGAACTGAAATTAAAGTTTCTACAAGCAAGAGATACGTGGCTCCAGTCATTGCTTTCTACAATACCTACTAATGATGGTAAGCGCCATTTAGAAGATTTTACATTCAGTACTTCAGCAGATCTGATTTCAAGCTGGGAATCAATTTGGTCCTTTCTGTGAAACTGGCGCCTAAAGTAAAGAAATGTTTATCAATATGGAACAGGATGATAGAACAATGCTGGGTCCACAGTATACTGCAGGGAAATTAAGGCCAAAAAATTCAAAACATTCTTCGGCTTTGATTTCCCTGCAGAGCATTGTAGACCCAGCTCTATTCTACTATCCTGTTACAGTTAGGGCCACATTTGTAGTGAGTTTTTTTTTTTTTTTTTTTTTTTTTTTTTTTTCCCATCAATAAGGTAACATTCATTTACTTCTGTATGGAAGAACTTGCTCCAAATGAGCTTAAATTGAAAACTTAAGCAAAATCTAACGCTTCAACAACTTAAACAAGAAAGAATCTTAGCCAAGCTGCATGAAATAGCTACAAATGTATTAACTCACATACTGATGCATTTTGGCAAATATAAACGTCATCAGGGTGTAACACTTAAGAACAAATGACAACAAAAAATTGAGAATAAGAAGAGTAAAAGCTACACAGTGCGTTTGTGAGAGGTAAGAGGAAAACCAGACGCAAGTAGGGACATACAATCGAACACCTTCTCTGAAAACTGGTCAATGAATAAACAACTAGGACTTACAAACAGGTATCAACGGTGAATGAGAGATAGTACAGAATTTTAAGTAGTTGCGAAATCATAAAGCAAATCTATGATTGGTGTGACAGCAGCAATCAGATCAGTTAGTGTGTCAATAGCATTTTAATTGTTTCGTAAACCTTTGCGAATTTGGAAACACTCCAATACTTTAAGATGTTTTTTATTTCTACCAACATGCATGATTTCTTAAATTTTATTGCACACTACCGATATTACGCGTATTTTCGTTCACATGTTTAAATACTTGTGATTGTTGATCTCTGTTTCTCTCAGTAGATCTCAGTTTTCCTCTTACCTCCACTCCACTTACCTCTCACAAGCGCACTATGTATCTTTTACTCTTCTTATTTTCAATGTATTTGTTCTTAGGTGTGATACCTTGATGATGGCTATATTTGCCGGAATGCATCGGTATGCGAGTTAAAACATTTGTAGCTATTTCATGCATTTTGGCTAAAAGTCGATTTTAAAAGACGCAATAATACAAACTTACAGAAAATTAAAATTTAAGATACTCCTGGAAGTCAGCACCAAGGTTCCCTTCTAAACAAGGGCAATTTTAATTTTTTTTTGTTTTGTTTTGTTATTTTTATTTTATTTTTACTCTTCTCCTGTGTCATCTTGAGTGTTTTCTCATGCACACCAATGTATAATAACGTAATGCCAAATAATTTGTATTTTTTGCAATAGCTATTATTATTTTTAGTCTTCATATTATTTCTTACATTCATCTCATTGATTTTTCAGCAAGTCATCACCTAAGTAAAACCATTGAGCTTTCTCGGATTCATTTGTTCAATATCTTAACCCAGTTTCGAGCTGTTTTCAGTTACGATGACACCTCGGCAAAAAGATTTTCTGTATTTGAATCTGGTTTATTCTACTCCTGGATCAATTTAAAGGTCTGTACTCTCATTTTACCCATGATGATATTCCTTAATCAAATCCGCCTCTCTACAGAATACTATGCTTAAAATGTGGGCTTAATAGTACATATGTAGAAATTAAAATGTAAATTGTATGATTCATTTGTCCCCCAATCCAATATCTCTCATGTGGCAAATGGTGTGTGGCTCAATGATGAACTCATCTTAATCATGAATAAAGTCAGGACTTAATCTTTTGGATTGCTTTCAGTCAAAGTGGCTCTAGATCTTCAGAGCGGAGCTTGGTATTTATAACTGTTAAAATGCACAAGTGGTCCTGTAAGTAATGTAATATCTGGGTTGTGATTATGAACAAACAAATGTGGGCTATCAAAGACAACATTTTTTGCTGCCAGTGTTTGAAACTCACCTTTAGATTTTAGGAGCCATGTGGCCCATCAAGCTCGATTTTTAGGGGCCAAATTGAATTTTTGCCAATACATCATGGCGCATTTAGTGAAAAGTCAGATGCAAGATGTTTTAGTTACAGAACTAGTAGCTGTAACATTGGAAAGGCAAAAGCACTAAGAATGAAATAGTGAATAATAGAAAAAAGCTTTTACTTGTAATACTGCAAGTTCTGAGTTTTTTCAACAAAAACGGATTTTTTCTTCTTTTTAATTATGTGACTTGCTGCGAACGCACACGACCCCTCCTCTCCCCATCCCTTGTCCCGTTCAATACCAATTTTCGTTCTGCTGTGCCCTGGCGAAGTTGTGCGCGCAACTGCTTGCTTTTTGCAAGTTCAATCCTGTGCATCAAAATATCGAAAAATCACCAAGCAGAAAAATTAGGATTTTTGGGGCGACATTGGCGCAGAGCCTTCATTCCATAGGCGCAGTGGTGCCTGTGAGTTTCGAACACTGTTTGCTGCTGTCCTTAGGGTTTTTAGGATAGGTACTTTTTCTAAGAAAAGAAAAAATTTGGAAATTAAATTTTAAAGAAAGAAAACAAAATGAGAAAATGACCTTGTCAACAGAGGGGAGACAGTTGGCGATAGTGGGCCTCTCAAATAGGGATGTCGATACTCAGGGAAGTATCGATACTCGGTATCGATACTGGTATCGACTCTAAGCATCGATACCAGTATCGAGCATCGAGCTGAAGTATCGATACTTATGAGGTATCGATACCATCGATACTATTTCTAAATTATGCCGTGATTCTGAGTGTGCGTATGTCTGTCGGCCGTTAAATTCCGCCAGATTTACGCCTCTCTCGAAAAAGCCCTGTTCGCGTCCTTGGTCAACTATTTTGAGCCCTTAACTACAGTTATCGAACTGAGCTTTTAACATTTTCATTGAAGTATAATCATCTTGAGAAACTTGATTACTCCGTCGTTTGTCACAGTGCATCATGGAGGTGAAATAGTGGGGAGAGAGTTTTTTAAAAAAGAAAAAGAGGCCTTTTTCATGGCCAAATCAGACTAAGTATCGATACCGTCGATACTGGGGTCTTGGCATCGATACTGCATGGTATCGATATCGTGGAGTATCGATGCCGAGTATCGTTAAGTATCGATCGAAAGTATCGATACTTTGCAAGTATCGGATAAGTATCGACATCCCTACTCTCAAAGATACCTCGTCATATGCATGTATACGGTTGCAATGATTGGCGGTGAAGGATACAAACTGACAGCATCATGGCACAATGACTGTCTTTACACCTCAAATGCAACTCAGGAATTCATGCACTTGAAGAGAATTGATACATCTCTCCCCCCTCTCTCTTTCATAGTGAACAGATCTTCTGATTTCTGATTTCTGACCATTTCCTGTAGTGAAGAGACACTTATCAGGGGTTAGAAACGATTGAAGAAATCAAAACACCAGTTCAGGTTTTCTTCAAGAACCACATTTAAGAAGAATTTGCAAAAACAATCCCAATGAAGTAAAAGGAACCGTTGTATGTAGAAGTTATGGCAAGCATTTGGAGTTGAGACAGACTCTTGAGCTATGCTTTCATGATCAAAATTAGCTGAATATAAGTGGGTCATCGACGCCATTAATAAGGATTGTCCATCAAAATCAAGAGGAGCCTCAACTTTTTGATCAACAGAAATACCAAAAGTCATTCATTTGACACTTCATTTGCGATCATTACTCATCAAAAAGTGAAGGTGCCTTTTAATTTTGATGTGCAATATCCAACAGGCGCATTAATATCCCTTTGATTTTGGAAACTTAGCTTTGACATATCTGATAAAAAAAAACAGTGTTCTTGCCGGTAATGTTTTGTACAATTCCTCAGTAGAGCAATTGATTATCAACTTCCTTTTTTTCCCTTAACAAAACCATCCTAAAAATCCTTCAAGCAGCAGTCAGAAATATCGTCTAGAAAAGGCTGTAGTGCAACGAATTTCTTAGCTTAGGAACTTATGGAGTCTCATTAAATTTGTAACAAGATTATTTAATGATTATTTTTGTTGTAAATTGATTTAATATGTTAATGCAGAATCGTAACTATTGCATTACATTCGAGAAAACCTCTGTTAAAATCAATTGTTTGTAATTTTCCTGCGGATGCCTACAAAGACTTAATGAATCAAAGCTGGAAGCTCCCAGTAAATGAAGGAAGTACGAAAATTGTTTGGAAAAATTGCCCAATAATCTACCTGAAAAACTCAATTCATCTGTTTTAAATTTGTAAAAGGTGAAGAGTTGATCTAATTTTTAATCATTAACTCGTGTTTTTCCTCTTTTTTTTAAAAAAAAAGAAGAAGAAAATACTGAAATTTTGGTTACTTTCTTCGTAAATAATCTGTTTCTAAAATTGTGTCCGTTTTTAAAATGAATAATCAGTTGCCTTTCAGATTGAAAAAATTAGAGAATTCTATCAGTTGAAATATCGAGATTTGCATTCAGAGCTCACATGATTTCCTTTTACCTGCCTTACTGAGATACGATTACTGAAATGTGATTTTTTTTACATGATTTTTCCATTATTACAGATACAAATATTTTTAGATACACTAGAAGAAGACCTTAAACTGTGTCCATTTTCATCATTAGATTCTCTTTTGGGTCAGTGTATGTACTTTGGATTGTCATTCAGTCGAGTTGGGGCTGACTTCAGAGCCCTTGCTGCACCGATATTTCTTAAGAAAATCAATGATCACATTGAAAAAAATATGGAAAAAACTGATGCTGTTCTTGCTAGTGAAATGGATACTTTTGCTCTTCCCAAGGCTGTGTATTCAGGCATTAAATCCAACACAAATTTGGAACTATCATCTGGTCAAGTAAGTAATCAAGTCAATGTTTAGTCATTAACCTGCCTCATAATAGTACTCATTTGTCATTTGGCAGTAAAATAGCAGTGAAAAGAACAATTAGAAACTGATCAAGAACCAGTGACAAATTCTGACTTGAACTCAGGCAAATTTTGTCAACTCTGTTGCAAAACAAGGAGGAGTTTAATTTTGGCAGTGTATATTTTCTCATATTGTTTGGAATTTTTGTGGTAAATACATCTAAAGTGAGGAGAATGTGGAAATTTAATGGTCAGAAACTTTAACCAAAAATATCGGTAGAAAGATGGAAGTTCTCCGAATAAAATCCTAATTTCACTCCAAGTGCAAAGGGAGCTTTACGTTTGAATGACAAAAGTTTAATCCAAAAGATGAGAAAATCGTTAAATTCAAAGGAAAACTTTGAGGAAAATTGATTACTATGTATACATATATTCAGGATTACTTAAAACAAAGAAGTCGCACAATTTTAAATATTCTGCAATTGCGTCGGTTCTCTTCTGCCAAATGGGATCCATTTTTTGTATATTAATTCATTTTCTCTTCTAATTTCTCTTGACAGGAGCATCCACCATCAAAGCTGCTCGATTTTCATCCTCTGGCCAATTATTGCAATAATTTATTAAACATGTTTAATGAATTGAGACTTTGTGCTCCATTGAATGTCGCTCAGAATGTAACTCAATTAATGCAGTCATCGTTGAGAAAGGCAAGCTCACACATAAAATCATTTTATAGGCAGGAGCAACAGGCTTTGACATCCAATGAACGTGAAATGTTGACACGACTATGTCAATGCTATTCTTATGAATTTGTACCTTTCATTCAAAGATGCATCCATGCAATTTTTCCTCCACACCAAATTGCCAAGCATCTTGGAATTAGCCAAACCCAGTTACATCGTATGGTAAGGTTTTTCAAAGTAAATTTTCTATGCTTTGTGTTGTTTTATTTTACATTGTATGTCAATGGACCATCAGACAAGGTACGAATTTAAGCCACCAAAAAAGGCCAAAAGGCCTGAAAGGAACCAAGCCACATCAGCCATTGCCAAATTTAACAGGGAGATTTCATTTTTTATGAGAGAACGTCTGTGCAGATTCTTTTGAAAATGTTAAGGAATTTGCTTTGTATTATGGAGAAAATTCACTGAAATTAGCACAAAAATCCGCACAACAGTTTTCATGTAAAAAATCAAATTGCCCGATTAAATGTGGCAATAGCTGATGTAGCTTAGTTCCTTTCTGTTTAACGCAGTCTAATTAAAGTAAAATTATTCTATTTTCAGTCCAAAATATTGAATCATGAAGGTAGAGGATGGAGCCAACTGCCACAAAATTTCAGGTCCCTAAACTGTCGCAGTTTTTTACAAACTTGGAAAAAAATGTTTCCTTAAGCAATTGGTGTTAAAGAATAGGAATTTGATGATCCCATGGCCCCCAAAGGTTTCATAATGAGGTGCTCGAGGGATCCTAAAAGTTTTGAATTTACAAGTTTAGGGATCCCCTGAGCCCCAAGAGACTTAGAGACCGTCAAATTCATATCCTTTGGAGACAACCACCCAAAGAAACAGTATACTAATCCTGCATGTAAATTTAGCAACCTGATATTTTGTAAAAGGGGGGGGGGCTCTGTCCTTGCGTCTAGGGGTACACTTACACCAACGTTTGGACAGGGATGAGCCGATTTTATACTTTTTGGTGTCTATTTGGGTTAGATTTTCCATATGTTCAGACTTTTATAGATTATGTCCATAATTTTGCAGAGAACTTCAACTTGTTAAATGCAGACCTCCCCTCGCCCCCCCCCCCAAAAGAAATTCAAGGGGGCTTGGAAACTATAAAATTTGACTGCCGTGAGGTCGATTCTTTACTTATTCCCACTGTTTCGTTTGACGTGAATCAATTAAGCCAAAAAGTAAAAAACCTGGTATGAGTGGTCTGGATCACTCTGTGTATTGCTTTTCTCTTTCAGATATGCTCTATGTATTTGTCTTAATTTTTTGTTTCCCTTCCTCGTTACTTTTCAGAATTTAACTTACCTGGATGAGAGCAATATCCTTGATCCCATCAACCACTTGTTACCAGTAACTCTGGTACAATCACCAGCTTCTCAATCGACAACATCACTGAAGTCCGACTTAACTCCTGAATCGATCACCGGACCATCATCACAAGTTCAACCCTCCTCTCCCAATGATACACCATTTTCGCCCACAGCTTCAACCCATGTAGAACTGTCAACTCCTGTTCTCAACGAATCTGCTGCCCAGAGATATGGAAACGTGCCAGATTCTCAGCTAAGTACCTCCTCTCAGTCAGCTTTAAACCCAGATCTCTCGTAACCTTGATTTACCCTTGCAAAATGGAATGCACAAAGTTGCTCTTTATTTATTTATTTATTAATTTAGAGTTACCTAAAATGGGAAATCGCAGGATCCTAGTTCATTTGATACATCTGAAAAGGCTTGGATTTTTATGTCTTTCTCAAGTCTTAGAGCATTCTTTACTCATTTTAAAATGCGGTTTTTTCCAACTGTTATTCGGAAAAATTATAGATTTTTGCCCATAAGGTGCTCTGTAAAAATGTAGACTGATTAATTATCTGCAACCCTAGACTTTTTCCCACAGAATTATTTTAGCTCTTAAAATAGGCCATTCTAGTTCAACTTTTAGTGACTCTTGTAACTAATGGTAGAGGTGATCTACCAGGGGGTAGACACGGACAGAAAGACGGAACTAGAGAATAAACTAGAAATACTTTATTCGGAATACAATGAAAAACAGATCGGGAGTTGCAAGAAGACTGAAGCTCAAGAATGTTCTCCAATAGAACAGGAATGGCTAGACCTTTTATAGGGAGAGCCAAGCGGCGACATCAAAAGCTGAATAGGCGAAATGACATGCGCCGGACCGGTAACCACGCGTAGGCAATGGCCTTCCTCTCAAAGGTCATTGTCAAGTACGTCAGACGAAATAGACGAACCTAGCAGAATGTCATTTTGTAACTCCTCCGCCCTAAGGAAAAATGTATGGGGGGGAAAAAAATTTGAGAGGTTCCTTCCACCAAAAATTTGCATACAAAAGCAAAAGTTGAACCAAAAGCAAGGGAGAAGATTAAACAAGGAAACAATGTAAATAATTAAAATTGCCTCCAGTCTTGCTTCTTCTTTTTTTTTTACCTATTTATACCTCAGCGAAGCATATACATATTATAATGATTTGTCGCAAGAAAAGATGACATAGTTATAACAAAGAAAACAAAAGTGATTTTGAGACAACGAGCAAACACATTTGTAACATTAGAAAAAAGAACTATTGCAAAGAAATGATTAAAGGTTATAGTCTAAATGATGCTCATTTAACATTTTGAGGAAGCCCGGGTCTACCGTTTGGCAATTCAACGGGGGGCGGATTTATCGCCTTGTCTTTTAATAATATTATCTCCCCACAGAAATTTAACACCTTCCACCAATTCTCCGCTGATTCCAACATTTCATCTACTATAGTTTCTGGGGTGAGCACCCCAAGGCTACTGAAGAGTGAAGCCTGCTGCTCCTGAAAAGCGCCTCAACCAAAAAACGTATGTCCCGCAGAACCCGGAGGCATATGTTCGGAGGTGCCATGTCCACACCGAGTTATTAGAGGCCTCCCACTCGTCTTGCCACTTAGCCCTAGTAGAACCCCTTGCCTTAGGGCGAGGAACTCCACATCCCAAGCTAACCTGCTCCTGAAGAGTGAGGGGACAAGGAGAGGAGGGGTGCCAGAAATCACATTCAGGGCATTATTAGGTACAGAAACGTACGCACTCGCTAATCTCCGCTTGAGAGGCCTGACACACCTGTTACTTAGCAGTAGACGAACGTAGCAGAATGTAATTTCGTAACTTATGTTAATTGTTTTTAACTTAAAGTTTTGAGTCTTTCTATCTTAAAATTCTCCTGCACCATATGTTAGTCCTTCTTTGGCCTTTGCTTCCTCTTCAGTCTTCATATTCTCAATCTTCTTCTTCTGCCCTGGAATTCCAAGGATCGACGAACGAATGTTATTCTGTGACCCCGCTTACCGGCCCGCTTCTTCCCAATGGCTGTGGAGCTTGATCCAGGACTTATACCAGTGTTTCTTATCAGGTATAGCTCTGAATGCTCTCCGAAATTATTTTCTCCTACTGCTTGAGCTGCAGCAGACTCAACAATTTTCTTAGATGTCTACCTCCCTTTGTTGCAATAACTCCAAATCACGGAATGCAACGATTCATTTGCATTCTGTGTGAAGCCTCGCAAGCTCCGCTCCAATAATATTTTGTCAGCAAGACATTTGTAGATTGGAGCCACATGCTGAACCTCTAAAGCACTGAGAGGTGTCTTAATATTTTCTGCATGAGGAGGCACAGGTTCCTTTCAACTAAGGGATCGCTGGTTGAAACACCACCTGTCTTTGCCCTCCGTACAATTTTTGTGGTCAGGATTAGAGTCGATTGAGGTACAATGACAGAGTGTGGCGAATATTGCTTTCCTCATGGCATCAACTCCTTTCTATCTGTTAGATAAAATTGGATAAAATTGTTAGAAAATTGTTGATAAAATTGTTTGATAAAGTTGGAAGACCCGTTATATTTTTGGGCAAGGTTTCTTGGTAAAATTTCCTAACAGTTTTAATTTCAGAATACAATTTGGAGAGGGTGATGATAGAAGGGTGTACTTGATTATTATTACAGAACAGTAAAGAGGTTTCGATTTCAGTCATAAAAGATAAGAAGACGAGACTATAGGACGAAAGGTAGTTAATTGTTTCAAGAATATGTATGTGATTTTCAGTTATAGCAAGATTACTTTGAACAGCATTAACAGCACTTAGTTTTTGAGTCAAAATACGCTCATTGTTGTCAATTCTAACTAAAACTTCTTTATTTTTGTTTATTATGGATGTGCTGAGACTGTAACTCTGTTGCACCACCCCGAGGTCGACTCGTAACCAGCATCTTGTCCTCCCGCTTTACCGACTAGTAGTATACAAATGGGCACGCCGGCGACTTTGCAACCTGACGACAACGACTGCAAAGCCCGCTCCAAACCATCGACGAACACTTTGCAACCTGGGGTCAACGACCGCCCCCGCAAAGTCCAACAGTATGTTGACAACTTTAAGCGTATCTTTGCAGAAACCCATTCATTATTTCTTCGAAGTATGAAAATAAATCGTCGCTCCTATGACGTAATGTTGTACATCGATTTGTACATGGGTTTTATTAGAAAGCATGGATTTGTATGTAAAAATGGGCTCACTACATTGCGAATATCATGTTTTACGTGAAATTTTGCATTTGAAAAAAAAATCAACCCTCTTAGGTTCTAATTTCCGAGTTTCCATGCTCATCTCCGACACTCTCCAAGCCTTATTCTTCCCACGTCTATAGATTGTATTCCTCAGGTGGTAGTAGGGTTTCATATCTTCTTGTGTCCTGTGCTGCAGCACTTGAAGGAGCGGGAAGGCGGGAGAACCTGCGGGACGCGAGGTTCTTGGCGAATCCCTTGTTTTCCCCGCCCTCTTCAAATCCCGCAGCCTTGCCAGGGCCATTTTCTTCTTCAATACGCAAAACCTTCCAACAGCACTTCTACCAATAGCTACCCATTCATTAGTTGCAGTACCACTTGTACTAGCACCAACTTCAAATCCTGTTCTGCAACCAACTGGAGTAACCGTACAAGAAACATTTTTTACAATTGCATCTTTCGGCAATGAATTATATTCTTGATCAGTTAAATAAAAAGGCAGCCAATCCACAGGAATATATGCTAAACCATGCACATAAGTTAAATTCTCAGCGAGATTTGAGGAGGCAGCAACTGCGCCAGGGCTCCAAAGCCCGGGATAAGAAATAAATCAAAGTGAGATGCGGGTAACACACACAAGGATTTTATTCACGAATTGGAGAAACAATACAACCAGAGCACTAACGGTAGGGACACGAATAATGATGGAGGGAACCGGTACCATCAAGAGAGTAGCTATCAGGGACTGCGATTGAAACAAGAGGAAAGTGACAATCAATTTATAATGAAAGATAAGTAGGGCAACTTGCGTCACAGACAGCAAGTTGGACTAGAGGGGAATTTGACTTTCGACGAAAGTCACCGAAATTGTCTTAATAAGGCAAAATTTGGAACAAGGGTCATGATTAGCAATAAGATTAGGAAGTTATGCTGACCAGGCGGCCTAGAAAGAAAGGCCGCGCGTGTCAGGGCTGTCAGATTCCCAAGAAAAAGAGAGAGAATATAACTCCTCCCTTGTTAGATTGAAATTAGAAGGTTAAATGAAAATTTAGAAATTTACAAAATTTACTAAAGTTTCTTAAGCAAAAATTTCAACATAATTATTCCCTTGAAGAGGGCTGAAGATTAATGGGGAACTGTAATAAAGGAATCGATGGTGCCGGAGCTCCGGTCTCAACTTTTACTGGGGAAGAAACAAATTCTCGAGTAGCGAGAACAGATGCGTTTCGAGCTTTACGAGTTCTACAACAGATTAATATTATTTACGGTGCTTATTAAGTCTCGAATAATTGGAGCAGACCTATTAAGCCAAGACATGAAAATAAAAAATTTTTAATCCTCATTCATTAGCAAGAAGCGAAACATTTTACGGATGAAGTTTTGTTGAGCGAAAAATTGTTGCCAAGTACTAGCGTTCGCGTAAGTTTCTTCTAAGTAAGTTTTTACACTATTACTAACAGGATCTTCGTGCTCGTGCTCGTTGAAGAAGTCCCACAAAACTTCAGTGGTTTGTCTAGGAGACAATTCTTCAAGGTTTGTTTCCCCAGCCACTTGAGTCAGATCTCGGACTAAAGGGCAGATGCAATGCAATTGGGGAAACATGAAAATATAAAGTACAGATGCGTGAAGTGCAAGACTGACTTTTATTTAAATTTTAATTACCGCGGCTGAGCTAAAACTGTCAAAAATCCGAACCAACCAAAATTTGGATATCTCGAAATGTCCCACAATAAATTTACTGAGAAATGCAGTAAAGAAGGAAAATAAATTTCCGAAGAGTTTTAAATTTTGTGGAGCCCTACTATAAGGATTCACTCCGAAAATTAAATCTCATAAAATTTCAAATTCTATGGAGCCCTACAATAAGGATTCACTCCTAAAATTTTGAAATTAAATTTTCTATAAGTAGCCCCACACTAGGGAAATCACTAACACAAAGAAAAATAATACTTGGAGAATATCACAAAAAATAAGAGGGGATTGGTCAGAATATTATTATAAATAATAACTCACAGAAAAAGCATAAGAATCTTCATCCTAGGGGTGACGAATGATATTTCAGCCGATCTGCCGTAGAATCGCGAATTTGAAGTCCAGATGGAGTCTTGATTAGGCGGACGAGGCAATACCCCAGGTGTGCGTCTTTGAGGCCAAATGATCTCCAAGGGATAGGTTTGTCCGGGACGTGAGAAAGTTGGATCCGAGCTTCAGGAAGACGTCTCAGAGGTAGCCGGAACCAGAGGAATGACCACGGGTGATGACGTCTGGGTCCTGTTTCCTTGATGGTGAAGTCTCCGTCACGGGCAAAGTTTTCCTCGAGGAGTGATTTGCAAAGGCGAGGTACACCGTCGTACGAAAAAGCTTCAGTTCCGTCAATCCAGACACTAACGGATTCTTCTTTTCGGCGAATTTCAACAGGCCAGTCTTGTCTGAATGAAGACAAGTGTTCGCAGATGATATCGAGGAGCTTCTGTTGTTCTCTACTGCAAGAGTAGACGAAACGACGTAAGGTGTGCTTTGGTACCAAAAGATCTGAACCGTAACGCGGGAACAGATCGTCGGACATCAGTGAGCGACAGTTTTAATGGGAGAGAGCGATAGGCGGTTTTATCGAAAAATTAACGCAATGTTAATTTTCGAAAAAGAATCCTAGCGACAAGCGCTAGTTTAATTCTCAGCGAGATTTGAGGAGGCAGCAACTGCGCCAGGGCTCAAAAGCCCGGGATTAGAAATAAATCAAAGTGAGATGCTGGTAACACACACAAGGATTTTATTCACGAATCGGAGAAACAATACAACCAGAGCACTAACGGTAGGGACACGAATAATGATAGAGGGAACCGGTACCATCAAGAGAGTAGCTATCAGGGACTGCGATTGAAACAAGAGGAAAGTGACAATCAATTTATAATGAAAGATAAGTAGGGCAACTTGCGTCACAGACGGCAAGTTGGACTAGAGGGGAATTTGACATTCGACGAAAGTCACCGAAACTGTCTTAATAAGGCAAAATTTGGAACAAGGGTCATGATTAGCAATAAGATTAGGAAGTTATGCTGACCAGGCGGCCTAGAAATAGAGGCCGCGCGTGTCAGGGCTGTCAGATTACTAAGAAAAAGAGAGAGAATGTAACTCATATGTCTTACATTTTCTTTTAACACCCAAATTGTGGCCTACTTCAATATTTTGAGGAACAATTCCGTGCAAAAACATTAATCTGGATTTACTAAAAGTCATGGTCCCAGAATTACTGCCTCTAGATAAAGGGAAATGAACATGTGCCCCCATAGAAGAACGACCACTTCCACCTCCTAGGGGGGGGTACAGCTGCGCCTCCTCCTCCGCTGCTTCCACCAGCGGTAACATTTTGTGCCTGAGAACCGCTATGCGTAGGCGCCACGTTTTGATGATCGACGTCCATAGCTTCAAAATTAAAAGAAACAATAACAGAAGGACGAGATACCTTACTGTTGTCACTAGAATCGGCAACTGATGTCTCAAGAGGTCTTTTAGTTCCACCAACGGTTCCGGAATTGGTGGGCGCTGACTCAGGTTGAACTGGGGGTTGAGCAACACCGCTTGGTCCGGGGGCATGTGGGTCAACATTCGATGCACTTAACTGCTGATAAGCATTCGTAAAATACTGAGTATATTGATTAGCAATAGATTCCAAATCTGCGTCTCCTGCTAATAAACTGTTCCAATGAGTTTGATTTTTAGAAAAATTATCGTTAATAGAAGAAGCTAATATGCTCCTTTTTCACTACGATAAAATTCTGTTTTCGATAAACCACCGGTTAGATTTCTATCACGCAAAACATAATACACTTTCGCTTTTAATTTTTCACGTAAGGCATACGCACTTCTGTTCATATTCGTATCTTTCCCAGGATGCCATGGGTACAATGTCGTATGCAAAATATCTTCTTCAACAGTATTTTTTATTGATAATAAAGAAGTTCCTAAAAACGCACTAAAATTAAAATCAAAGTTTTTAAGGTCTCTTAAAAAACACCACCAAAGTCAGCTATTGCTTTTTTATCAGCTTTAAACTCGTAATCTTCGGACTTTGCGAACTCGTAGTCTATATCACGCAGCTCCGCGATTTCGTCTGATTTGTCTTCTGGATCACCGATATCTATATCGTTTCCAGGACCGACGTACTTATATCCTGGCAAGGTAAAGTTCGGCATGGTAATAAATTACATATGGATCCAACGGCTGCATGAAACATGGGATTAAAAGGTGTGCCGGACCCTCCCGCCCCGGCCGGCCCGGCCCGTCCCGATCCGATGCGATGCTCTATATGATGTTTTCAATTAACTGATGACCCCTGAAGATCATGATAAAATCGATTTTTTACATGTGCACTGCCGTAGCTACGTAAAAAATCATGATTTTATCGATCCTAGCTGAAACATTCAGCACCTCAAAAACGTACGATTTATGATTAAACCCGACCTCCGCGGCGTCGAATGTAGTTTTCAACTCCTTGAACCACTGGCTCCTCTTCATTTCCTTTCTATTACCATACCCAATACCATCGATCTCGTGTCCAGGCAGCAAAGTCACTCTACCCGTTAAGTGGCATTGCCAAAGATGGCACTCCACGTAGTCTCTGACGTTCCTTATACAAGCTTTTCCGAAATGCAGAGACATCTCTCGCTACGTGTATAAGAAGAGGATGAAATCTTCTTTTATGCATTTTTTTTGATGAGCTTAACAACAGGACGCAATTGGGGATTGTAGATCGGATCACAAAAGTGATCATCCCAGAAAAAGGACGAGATGTACCCGTGCCCGTAAAAGATATCGCTAACGAGTAGACGGGAAAAAAAACAACTCTGATCACGGGATCCACTTGGAAATAGTTAATGTAGTCGAGGGTTAAATGATATTGGCACCGGCCCAGGGCGAGTTTACTCAGTGAGGGAACCATGATGAACTGTAAC